AGTTTAGTTTCATTTAGGGGTTTAGGGCTCTGCTGCTGCTTGCCTTAGCAGCGCCCTGTTGCAGCGCCTGTCTTTGAGGCCCTGCATTGCCGCTGCTGCTGCTGCTGCTGTTTCTGCTGCTGCTGCTGCTGTTGTTGTTGCAAACAGCTCTTATGAAGTCTTGAAGAATTAATCAATAATAATAATAACCGGTAGTTAAAGGCTGCAGCACAGAACAGCAAAGCTGCAGAGCAGCAGCAGCTGCTGCTGCTTCTAGGGGGCCCCATCACCAGCAGCAACAACCGCTGCTGCTGCTGCTACTGCCTTCTGCTGCTGCTGCACATGTAAACACCTACTACAAGTTTTAGGTTTTCGTACTTTGTGTGTTTATATTCTGCAAGTCTTTGCAGCTGCTAACAACGCTGCTGCTGCTGTTGTTGTTGCTGCTGCTGCTGGGCTTGCAGCAGCAGCAGCTGCAGCTGTCTAAGCAGCAGCAGCAACAGCAGCAGCAGCAGGTGCTGTCTTAAATACACGCCTGCTGCAGAAACAGCAGCATCAGCATCAGGAGAATCAAGGAAGCCTAAGGCTCAGCGCGAGCAGCAGACTGCTGCTGGGCCCCAGCGCCAGCAGCAGTAGCAGCAGCAACAGCAGCAGCAACACGGCGCTGAATGTGGAGATAACAGCAGCAGCAGCACCATGTGCTGCTGAGCTGCTGACAGGTGGGGCGTTCTAGGACTCTCCGCACTGGCAGTTGTTGCAGCAGCAAACCAGGCTGCAGCGGCTGCTGCTGCAGCAGCTTCTGCTGCTGCTGCAGCTGCAGCAGCACAATTGTCCCATCCTGCATCTTAACCCTTCAGGGAACCACCGGCCATTTGCCCCTGCAGCAGCATCAGCAGCAGCAGCACCACTACCACCACCAGCAGCAGCAGCAGCAGCAGCAGCAGCAGCAGCAGCCATTACTGCAGCAAGAACAGCTGCAAGCAGGCAACGCAGCGTCACGCTAAAATGGAGGGGGAAAGGTGCAGCGTCAACGGCAGCAGCAGCAGCAGCAACAGCAACAGCAGCAGCAGCAGCAGCGGCAACAGCAGCAGCAGCAGCAGCAGAAGGAGGAGAGGAAAGTGCAGCCGCACTGTGAGAGTCTCTATTTTCTTGCTGGCATCAACAGCAGCAAACTGTCTCCTTTGCTGCTTCGAGCTGCTGCCGTTCGTTAGCTTTCTGCCTTCGCAGCACACACTGCAGCAGCAGCAGGAGCAACCGCAACAGCAGCAACAGCAGCAGCAAGCTCAGCAGCACCAGTTGCCGGTGAAGCAGCAGCAACTTCCCCGCCCTGCTGATGCTGCTGCTGCACACAAAACGAGGCAGGAGAGTCTCGATACTCAGCCGCAGCAAGAGCGACGCAAACAGCAGCAAAACGTACAGCAGCAGCAGCAGCAGCGACAGCAGCAGCAGCAGGGGAAGGACCGACGGCTGCGAGTTCGTTCTGAGCCGACGCCGCTTCCTGCTGCAACAGCTGCAGCATTAGATGCAGCAGCAGCAACAGCAAATGTTGAAAGAGCGACTGACTCTGGTGCAGCAGCAGAAGGCAGATTGCTGCATCCAGCAGCAGCAGCAGCAGCAGGGGACGGAGCAGCAGCAGCCAGCGCAGCAGCAGCAAAGACGCCACCGGCAGCAGCAGCAGCAGCACCAGCACCAGCAGCACCAGCAGCACCACCAGCACCCGCAGCAGCAGCAGCAACAGCAGCAGCAGATGAAGCGTGGGTGCCTGCAAGTTGGGTGCCGTGGCCTTGGCTGCTGCAGCAGCAGCCCGATGCATGCGTTGCTGCTGCTCTTGTCTTCGAAGCTCTGGGTGCTGTGTGGGGTGGAGTGCATGCAGACTCCCCACTAGGGCGAGTGTATACAGTAAAGAGAGGCTTGCTGCTGCTAGCCGCTGCTGCTGCTGCTGCTGCTCTCTGTCTCCTGCTGCTCCTCCTACTTACGCAGTGCGCCGCCACAGCAACAGCGGCCGCAGCAACAGCAACAGCAGCAGCTGCAGCAGCAGCAGCAGATCTGAAAACCCTCGCGGGGCCGTTCCTCGGGTTTGCGCTGTCTCCCGCTGCAGCAGCAGCAGCAGCAACAGCAGCAGCAGCAGCAAAAAGAGCAGCAGCAGCAGCAAATGATGGTTTTTTTGGGTTTATGTGTGGTTCTGCTTTGACCTCTGTTGCTGCGTCGCCGTATGCATGCGTGTTGCTGCTGCTGCTGCTGCTTGCTGCTGCTGCTGGCAGCGGCTGCACTCTGCTTACTAGTGCATGTCTTTGTTTTGAGGAGCCAGAGATAGAAGGGGGGAAGATAAGAAGTCTATTAGCAAGAGGCTTTGTCTTGAGGCAAGAAGACCCTGCTGCTGCTGCTGCTGCTGCTGCTGCTCTTCCTGCTGCTGCTGCTGCTGCTGCTGATTCGGCAGCTGCAGCTGCAGCAGCGACGAGAGAGGCTGCTGCGAATGGTGGGGAGAAGCAGAAAGGAGACTACCGGGCACCTGATAGTTCGCAGCAGCAGCATCAGCGGGAGCACCCATCGCGCCGGCGTTCAGCTGCTGCCGCAGGACCCGCATCATCATCAGCAGCAGAATCAGCATCAGCATCAGCAGCAGCAGCAGCAGGCAGCAGCGTTCGTGGGTCTTCTCTACCCACGCCGCATTTCTCTTGGTTTGCTGTTCGTCCCTTTGTTTTGCTGCTGACGACCGAAGCAGCAGCAAGGTTGCTGCTGCATTGGATAGCTTTTTGTTTGCTGCAGCGGGAGGTGTGGGGGGGGCCCCCTGTCGTCTTCTGCTGCTGTTTGCTGCTGAGCGGTATGCTAGCGCTGCTGGCGCTGCTGCTCTGCTGCTGCTGCGTTGAAGAGAACCCCTTTGTAATGAGACAGAAGCTTAGGACAATGCTGCGTATACACCCCAAAGCAGCAGCAAAGCAGGGAGGAGGTGGAGGCCCCTTGCTGCAGCTGCACGATCTGCTGCAGCAGCAACAGCAGCAGATGCAGCAGCACCAGCAGATGCAGCAGCAGCAGCAACAACTGCAACACACCCCACACGAGCTCCAGCATCCTATTCATGAACGCACACAACAGGAAGGCAGCTGCAGTCCTTCGGCTGCTGCTGCTGCTGCTGCTGCTGCTGGCAGCAAAGGCAAGGGAGATCGCAACAACAGGAACAGCGTCAGTCGCTGCAAGAGGACTTCTCCTGCTGCGCTGCTGTCTCCTTTTGCAGCTGCTGCAGCAGCTGCAGCAGCAGCAGCAGAAAGAAACAAGCAGCATGGCAGCAGCACAGAAGACGAAGACACGGCCTTCTCTGTTGCTGCAGCAGCAGCAGCACCGCTGCTGCTCTCAAGCGAGCAGCAACCAGCCCCACGCTGCAGAGGCCCCCTCACCTTCAGCAGAGGCAGCAGCAGCAGCAGCAGCGACACAGACGCGAACGCTCTCTCCGACAGCAGCGCAACCAGCAGCTGTAGCAGCATTATCAGCAGCAGCAGCAGCAGCAGAAGCAGCAGCAGACGGCCATTTCCATCAGCAGCAAGCCGCCTTGACCCCGTAACAGAATCAGCAGCAGCAGCAGCAGCAGCAGCACAGCGGACACGGGCAGCTCCGCTAGCGTTTGCATCCTATCAGCAGCAGCAGCAGCAGCAGCAGCAGCAGCAGCTTAAGACGAAGGTGTCTCCTGGGGGCTGGGCACCCGTCTGTACGGGCCCCAGAGGTCTCCTCGAGCCTTTGCTGCAGCACCCAACACCAGCAGCAGCAACAGCAGCAGAAGCAGCAACAGCAGGAGCAGACACCCGTGAGCTTGTGGGTGCACCGTCTGTATCTTCAGCGCAGCAGCAGCAACAGCAGCAACAGCAGCAGCTGCAACTGGAGCAGCAGCAGCAGGAGCAGCAGCAGCAGCAGCAGCAGTTGCTGGAGCTGCTGTGGGAGGAGCTTGGTGAAGGAAAGTTTTATAAAGCAGCAGCACGCTGCTACAAATCTTTGCTGCTGCAGGAGCCCCGCCCTGCTGCTGGTGTCTGCCTACCTGCTGCTCTCATTGCTGCTGCAGTGTATGGGCGTGGGGTGTATCGTTTGCTGCTGCTGGATGCTGCAGTTGCAGAACAGGGAGCAGCAGCAGCAGCAGCAGCAGCACAAGCAGCAGGAGGACTTGACAGCGGCGCATCAGCAGCAGCAGCAGCAGCAGGTGCTCTAGCAGCAGCTGCTGCTGAACTGCAGCACGTAGTGTCTCTAAAGTGCAGCGGGAGCTTGCTGCTGTCTCTCCTACCATTTTGTATGGGTCGCTACTTCTCACCGCAGCCGCTGCAGCTCTTTGCATGCACTGCAGCAGCATTTGTCTCCTTTGGTGTGGGGCTGTCTCTTGTGTCTGTCTCTTCTTTATTCCCGTATGCTGCTCCTCTCTCTTCATCTGTCTCTGCTGCGCTGCTGTACGAGCTGCTGTATACAGCACCTAACTTTGCAATCTGTCTCTCTTCATCCTTCCTACCTCTTCAAGCATTTCATACTGCAGCAAGAGGTGCTGCTGCTGCTGCTGCTTTTGCTGGCAGCAGAATTGCTGCTGCTGCTGCGCTGCTCCTCCTACATATAGCCACTAGCAGCACTTGCGCAGCAGATGCATGCTGCAGCGCAAGGATATCAAGCTTCTTTAGTTGCTGCTGTTTAGTTGCTGCTGCTGCAGCAACGCTCTCACTCGCACCCCATGTCAGGGTGTCTCCAGCTGCTGCTGCTGCTGCTGCAGCTGGTGGGGTTAGTGCAACTATTGCTGCTGCTGCTGCTGCTGCTGAAGCGACGGAAAAAACTAAGGACCTCCTGCAGCTGCAGCACCTGCAGCAGCTGCAACAGCTGCAGCAGCAGCAGCAGCAAACTAGCAGCCAGGAGGCTGCCGAGCTGTCGGGAGGCGACGGCTCCACGTCAAAACAGCTGCAGCAGCAGCAAGTGCTGCAGCAGCACCAGCAGGATGTGCAGCAGCAGCAGCAACTCATTACACCTTGGGCAGATGTGCCGCGAAGCAGCAGCAGCAACAG